GACTTGTACTGAAATAAAATTTTCTGAAAATGGGAAGCGAAAATAAAGACATCTCTACAGACATCACATTCAGCATGACCAGTCAAGGTCCACAACATCCTACTTCAAACTGTGCAAAGATGAAGTAAAACAAGACTTGGTCAAAAAAGTTACAGTGCAAGACTAAAATAATGTCAGCACTGTGCAACAGGAATAATGTTCAGTTTAATGGAATCTGTAACAATAAGGTCACAAAATGTGAAAACCTACTACTAAAAAGATGTGAACTTCAATTATTAAATGACATGGAGACAAATTGATGAGGCTCAAAATGCCTGAAACAGTGGTGGGGGCTCTGCTGATCATGATGATAAATGACAGAAGTTGGCTGGAGTTATCCTTCTGTTGGTATTCCATGAAGAGAAATTTCTCCCCTGCATCAAAGAGCTCCTTTGTGCAGTTTCCTGCTGCAATCGACTCATTTCCCTGCATTTGACAGCTCAATTGCTGGGCCTTCTACTGCTACAAGAATAACCAAATCTCTCAGGTTCTCTAATGAGGTGTCCACTGAGGGGAAGGGTGAAAGAGATCTCTTAATGAGAGTGGTCGGGCCATCAGGAAGAACCGAAGTAGTAGTTGATGGATTTACAGCCCTCTCTTGGGGGCCTAAAGCCTTGGCTGAGAACATAACATGTACCTCTTCATGCATAAACTTTTCTCAATTCCATAACTTATTGTATTCAAATACCTCCACTAAGTGGTGGAATCACTGCTACTTTATCTCCTTCTTTAAGTTGGACTATGGATCCTGTAGTAGCATACTCTTCATTAATGGCTAATATCAAATTATGCTGAATAGACTCCAAAGAAAATGTCTTCACTATTTGATCCACAAGATCATTATATGATACTGTTGACGGAATTAATAAGTGACTTTCTTTCTGTCCACAAAGTTCTCTTGCTTTAGCAAAAAATAAGACTTGAATTTCAACTATCAACATATCAGCCATTACAATTTTCCTGCAACAAAATCTATTATAAATATTTCATATTTAACACAACTGCTTTCACCACGATGTCCACCATAGTCAACACAGTCATCATAACAAATATCTCTAGATTCATTCATATCACTTACTTCAAATGTACAATTGTATGATAAAAACATCAGATAAATGCATATACAGGACCTTACAAGCTATACAAACACACTCAACATATAAAGCAGAAAAAACAGAGCATGCATATCCAATTGAAACAATAATCAATAATCTATCCGAATAAACAGTGAAAACAAAATTATCATAGACCTCCATACAAGCAACAATTAATTTTAAGTTTGGTCAAAACACAGAACAAACTCAGTGACAGATAAGAACAGTTTGGTTTAGTTTTTATTCATTCTTTTAGTCAATCTTCTGACACAGAACATGTCAATATGGCATACGATATAAAAATTATATATTTTCAAGAATTCAACTAAGTTTCAAACACATGAAATACTCGAACATAATGCAGACACAATTAATAGAACCAACTTTCTTAAAAATTATTATCTCCTAATTAATGACAATACAAATGTGACTTATAAACAGAAAACACAATTACAATTCATGGACCCAGCTTACTTAACAATTATCTTACATTAATTAATATGAAGCAAAATGTAAGTCACAATAGGAAGGTCCTCATCTACTTAAATTTCCACATATTTACTAACTTGATTTGGCAGTATTTTAAGTAATTTAACTCAATATTCATTATACCATTTTTGAGAACATTTGTTCTACAAAACTGCTGAGGTTTGATTTCTGCCACTTACTGAGATCATGATTTAAAGTGTTGTGTTCAAATGTCTCTGTATTTCACTTCATGTGATATACAGGGTGGGGTGCAGAAACTTCCTTTTTTTGAAGGCGAATAAAAGAAAAATTATTGCTGATAGACAAAATTTATGTTTAGCTAATGAAAGAACATACTTTAAAGTTTTAAATCATGTAGTTTTAAACAAAATATCTTGAAGGTGGTGGCCACCGTTCTCTATGCACTGATGCAACCACTTCCTGAAGTTCCCCTCTGCACATTCCAACATGTGCACTGGAATTTGGGCTACTTCCTGCCAAATAACATTCTTCAGCTGAAGCAGGTTTGTGAGGCGACGTTTAAAAACCTATGCCTTGAGGTATCCCCATAAAAAAATCACAGGGTGTTAGATCAGGTGAGTGCGCTGCCCACGGGATGTCACCTCGGAGCGAGATGAGCTGTCCAGGGAACTTTGCCCTCAAAACTGTCATTGTAGCTTGGGTTGTGTGGGCTGTGGCATCATCCTGTTGGAACCAGACATTTCCTAGATGCATTTCTTCAAGAGCTGGTTCGAAAAAGTTTTTAATCATGTCCACATACCGCTGTGAATTCACAGTAACAGCATGATTGTCTTCTTTAAAAAAATAAGGGCCAATAACTCCAACTCTTGACGACGCACACCGTACTGTCACCTTATCACTGTGAAGTGGCCTCTCATGGAGCTCTCTGGGATTGTTACCACTCCAATTGTGCATATTCTGCTTGTTGACATATCTGGATAGGTGAAAATGTGCCTCATCACTAAAGAAAACAAGTGTGTCAGGGGGTAAAGTTTTCAATAACATTTCGCACGCTCTTAATTGGTTCTGGAAATCATTTGGTGACAATTCTTGCACAATCATCTTATAGGGATGAAAATTAAGATGTTCGTGAAGAATATGGCGCATTGAACGATTGGATATGTCTAGGGTAACTGCATGTTTGCAAGCGGAGTGTCTTGGAGATCTCAAAATCGACTGTCAAACTGCCTCCACATTTTTTGGCGTCATAACGGTCCGCTGTCATCCTGATGATATTTTTCACCACACTCCTGGTTGTCCTAAAGTTCTCAGCAGACAGCACACGTAGTACAGACAAGCAGCGGCATTCACACAAGAAGACTACATTAAATAACACCTGTACAGGGTGAAAACAAGAACTAGCCGCTCCAGCACTTAGACATAGGGCGAGTAACCCTAAGAATTTTAAATTTTAAATTTAAAATTTAGAGAAAATTTTAAAAGATTTTAAAAACATCATAACTAAAGATTTTTAGAGTGCTACT